TAAACAAAACTGAATGTGATGCCTGCTTGTAACACAGTCATATCACAACACCACTGACACACCAGTGACACACTAGCAGTCTCTCTTCAGGAGAAACTGAAGACAGGAATAGCTGGGGATAATGAAGTCTTCACTGAAGTATATTAGGAGAGTTAGGTGTGGCACTGGTGCCTCAAGAGATACTGTGAAATCAAGGAAGTTGATTGGCAGAGGTGAGTAGAGACTAGAGCAGCTGGGTTCACTGCATGCCAGGACTGAAGCGCAAAATTGTAAGGGAATGAAACTTGCTAAACTTCTGGCTACATCATGTCTAGCTGAAGCTGCTGCCCTTTGTTCCTCCCTTTCATGGGCACTGAATTCGAAACAGAATAGATTTAAAGATAGTTTGATACAGGCATCTGGTTTCGCAACTGCTCTTGCTTCACTTCCATTTCCATGTAAGTCATATTTCAGGGGTTTTTTTTAGAGGTTTGTTAAAGATTAAGACACAAGCATAGCTTCTGATGTTTCTTTTTTCCCTTGGGAGCCTTCAGCATGCCTGTCAGAATTCACTCTTGCAAAAGAACCAGACATTCAAAAGTGTTGCAAACAAACCACTTTCTGCAACACCCTGAGTTGTATTAGAGGAAAAGACAGTAAGTATATGCTGTTGCACTCTTTCTTTCTCTGATATTCACATTACATTTTGCTGTGGTTTCCAAGAAATTATCTAGTTTACAGATTGCCTCTAGTCACTAGACAGGAGGAGCATTTGTAGGACTCCTGAGAAAAGAAGTGCATCTAGTTAGAGAAAAGCAAGTGGTGGTTAGGAGGCCTGCACTGTATTCCACATTCTGTCATCAACTTTTGGTGTGACCTTGGTTCCTTGTATCTGAGTTTCCCCATCTGAGAAATGAGCATAGAAAAACCTGCCTCTGTAAAATGCCTTAAGACCATTGCTCTGATTAGTTGGTTGAAGAGGCGGTTTAGCAGTAGATAGGGCTGCTCTGGCATCCCTAAATCCCTTAATTTCAGCATAGATTCCTATACACTCGCCAGGAGAAAGGTTACAGCTGCTGGCCCTATTAATGACCTTCAGCTGCTGTACTGAGGTGTTTTTATTGTAAATGAGGTAGAAGTTGCTGCTTGGTACAACCTATAAATGGAATACATAAAAGCGCAAAGTCTTATTATGAGTCCCTGCATCATCATTCTTTTTCCAGAGGAAAATGTAGGTTGCTCCAAGGATTACATAATGCTAATAACAGAGAAAGGGATTGAGGGAGTACATTTTTTTTCCAAATTATTACTGAGGTAGACACTCCCGTGTTAGCTGAGTATAGGTACTACACACATAGAATGGAATTGGATGTTAGCTGCAGCACAATTCCTACTTAAGACAACCCAAAATGCTCTACAATCACTTGTCGGAAGAGGCTGCTAGAGAATGGCTGTGCAAGTACAGAGGCTCTTGTGCAATCACTGATAACTAATCCACTGATAACTAATACACAGACCTGGAGCTTAAAATGAAGGCTGGGTACTATGTTCATAATAAAACCCAATGTTATTTCACCTGGTTTCAGAATTCCTTGAAAAGAGGGTAGCTGACATTTTTGCTGACTTCAACACACTATTCATTAAACCGAAGCTAAATATAAGGCCTCTGATGAAAATTATGCAAAAAATTGATAATTTCTCATTGATTCATAGATGTTAGGGGCTGGAAGGGACCTTACAAGATCATCGGGTCCAGACCCTCTGCACTTGAGCAGGAAAGACTGCTGGGGTCTGATAACCACAGCAAGGTGGGCATCAAGATGCTTTCTGAAGATCTCCAGGGTAGGTGACTGTACCACCTCTCAGGGGAGCCTGTTCCAGACCCACAGCACTTGAATTGTAAAGTTTTTCTTAATGTCCAATTTGAAGTGATTGTCAATCAGTTTGTGCCCATTGTTCCTTGTCTTCCCTTGGGGTGCCTTGGTGAACAGATGTTCCCCCAGGCCCTGGTGTATGCCCCTGATATACTTATAGGCTGCCACCAAATCCCCTCTGAGTCTTCTCTTCTCCAGGATGAACAGCCCTGTGTCTTTCAGCCTCTCCTCATATGACCTGCACTCCAGACTTTTAATCATGTGCCTGGCCCTCCTTTGGACTCTTGAGCTTCTCCACATTTCTTGTTAGCTTTTAAGTTTTGCTAGAACATGAAATTAAACACATGAAATTCTGAGGGTGAAAACCCCATGAATATTATAAGTGACAATGGTTTCACACAAGAGCCTAAAATGTGAAGCTTCCACATTCACACATATTATAAAAGAGTATGGGCAATTATGATTTATAGCCATACCCTCAGCAAAAACTCCAGGAGTTACAGTTCTGAAAGCAGACGGAACATGCCTTCCAGAGATCCATGGGGTGCAATAGGAATGCATCCTTGGAGGCAAACCCTGCTGTACCCAGCAACCCTTTAGCAGGGCTACAGCCAACAGTAGTACTTGCATAACCCTTATACAGGGCCGCTTTCTTCATTGCTCCAAACTTTGTGTAGTCAATTAGACCTGGCAAAGTGAATATAAAATGGATGTGAAATTCTACCATTTTAATTTGGGGAATGCAAGGACTCTCATTACTGGCTCTGCTTATGTCCCTAGCACAGGAGAGAGAGGATCCTCAACTCTGTTCCACCCTTTGTCCATCAAAACAGGCAGCAAACACAAGCTGAACCTAAAATAATAACAACCACATGGTACTTGAAAGCATCCTTTTAGGTCTTCCTGGCCAAATAGTTTAAGGGGTTGAACTTACTAATGAAATAATTTGGCTAGGACCTGTTTACTTGGTTCTGTTTATTATACTGGCATAGGGACACTTCCCTATATCTGACCTATATACTCATTTATCAAGATCAAGGTTCTCCTGTTGGCTAGCATCAGTTAAGGCACACAAAGGACTGCTGTGGCCAGCATCACACCTGGCCAGCTTTGAGTCCCCGTGTCAGGTGACTAGTTTCCCATTTATAACTTGGTTGACTGGGGAGTTTGGAGCAGGTCTCCTTCGTACACATCTGAACATTTTTTCCCAAGAGCTCAAGCCTTAGATTCAACTACAGTGGGTGCATCTCCAGGGAAACCAGCAAAGTTGGGCTCTCACATACTAAAGTTAATTTGATCCCTGGGTTATAAATTTGCATGCTATTCCTGTTGGTTCATTGGCAAAAGTTGTACCAGTTGGGACATGCACACCACTTTTAGGCTTCACACGGTAGCAGCCACACAAATCATTAGGAGAAAAAGCAGCATCCTTGAAACCTTTCCTTGAAGTGACAGCAATGAGTCTTGTTCACTTTTCCAAACAATTCCTAAACATTTGGGGCCAAAATTAGTTGCTCAATGGCATGCTAGAGTGATATAGTTGTAATGGTCCAGGAAGTATGTGAGACACAATAATTTCTTAGGGTGTTATCTTTTATTGGATCAATTGTATTGGACTATATAGTTAGTCTAATAAAATATATCACCTTAAGAAATCCTTGCTTCTGCTTAATGGAGACTGTATTCTCAAAAAGGTGAAACATTCAGGAATGGATTGAAGTGGTTCCTTAAATGGAAGTTGCTTAATCAGGATTGTGTCTTGTACAGTTGAATTTATAATAAATTAGGATGAAGAGCATTGAATAATAATGAATTTACTTGTAGCTCATTAGATTTCTGAAGTCACAAAAGCCCTGTTGAGTCATAATCACATCTTTGTTGCTCCTTTTCTGCAGCCTCCAGTTAAAAAGAACCAAGTAGAGAAAGGTGGTGAGGAAGCGTCAAGACATAAACTTACAGGCTAAAAATTTGATTTATGTTAAGAGTGCAATAAATTGATGGGGAACAGTCTCTCAGTTCGAAATGTTTTAAGACAGAAACATTGATGGCTTGTCTTGGATCTAGGATGTTTCCCAATGTATTTTTTGCCGCTGCTTGGGCCTGAAGAGCTAGTTCTTAACTTGTGAGCCTATATTCAAAGAAAGCAGGGTTCCTGGATATCCTAGCAAAGGCTTTCTTTGTGAAACAGAGGAGTAGCATGGACTTATTACGTGACAGATTAAGTTGAATAGTTTTATAACTCACCCTGCCAAAGGTCTGGCTCTTATGAACAAATCTAATTTGATTCCTGTTAGTCCTAGACACACATTCAGCAATATCATATATTGCAAACTCTTATCTGCAAAATCTAAATTAATTCTGACTCTCTGCCTCCTCCTATACCAAAGTGCTCTGAAGCAGAAGTGAGAATCTGACAGTGTCTGAAAAGGGGGGAAATGCTTTCTGGTGACTGCCTGCTGAGGGCTGCAGCGGGAAGCAGAGCGAAGAGTTCGTCTGAACAAAAGGGTGGTGTGGCGCTGAGGAAGATGGGCAGGGTTTTGAACAACGCTGCTCAATCTTTCTAGGCTTGAACGTAATAGGCACTGCCCTTGGAAAATGCTAGCTTTTAGTTTTCCCTTGTTTCTTAACTAGAGATAAATAAGAGCAATTCTTGCATTGCAGACAGCTCAGAAAGACAGCAGCAGGTAGATGGGTTTTCATACTATGGCTTCCTCTTTGAACTCCCTGCATGGATCCTACCACAGTGCCCGTGCCTCACAGCGCTATTATTGCAGGGAACCGTGCCACACCTGTGAAGGGTTCTCCTGGCACCCCGGGGTCAATACATTAAGATTATCTGCAGTTATTAGCACTCCTGCGTGCTGGAGATTTCTGCTCTGCACACTTCCAGCACAGCCCAATCTCACAGCTCCACGCGCGGCCCCACAGCCGCCGCCAGAGGGCGCAGAGCCCGGCCGCATCCTGCCACTGCGCCTGCGCACCAGGAGCGCCACAGCGCGGCGGGGAAGTCGGCGCTCTGTTGCTTCCTTTCTCCCTCCCTCCTCTCGATTGGCCATCGGGCTGCGCCTCGGCTCTTCCCATTGGCCTCCCCGTTTCCCTCGTGCGGGCTGATTGGCCGCCGCGCACCCTGCAGTCCCTGAGGCTGAGATGGCGGCCACCACCTCCCTCAGCAGCGCGGGCGCGTGGCCGCTTCGTCGCTATGGCCGCTTCGTGAACCCGGGCCCGCCCCACGGCCACGGTGCCACCGCCACCGCGGCCCCGGGCGCCTGGACGGTGAGCGCTAAGGGGGCCCTCGCCCGGAGCAGCGCAGCGCAGCCCAGGGGGTGGGTGGGCGGCCTGTCCTACTGGGGCTGGTCAGCGCCGCGCCGGAGCGGGGGCGGGAAGCGGTATAACGTACGCGTGTGTGTGTGTGTAAAAAATGCACACACACATACACACAAACCCCATATGCACCCCCCATATATACATATACACACGCATGCGCACCCCCTACATGCACACATGCACGGGGGGTTATGCACACAAACACACCTATGTCCAACCATTCATCACAGTAACTTGGCAATAAAGATGCACCTCTCATTGCACTCAAAAGCTTGCCTAAATGTGTCACAACCGTACACTGGGCCCAGTAAAAAATAATCACTCGCCTCTTCCACGTTTCTTGCAGCATCAGGGCTACAACGTTCTGATGTCTGCACATACGCAGCCAGCAAGAGCACAGGTTTGTCGGTGCTTTATGGTCAGGGTTTTGTCATCCTGCAGTTGAGTGCCTGATTATTAACCTGACAAAGGGTTTTTAAACCCGAAAGCTTGCTAAGAAAAATGTTTCTAGTTATTTAAATGGTCTAATAAAAGATATCAGATTCACCGAAAGAACCTTGTCTGATTATTAACCTCACACACCTTTGAAGCATGACGTTGGCTGCTATTTTAATAAAGAAGCCTTTAAATTAATATACACATTCTAATTTATAATAATGAATATACATATATTCTACTATATAATATAAACTAATATATACTTTATCTTCCATATCAAATATAAGGATCCACTTTGTAAAAGATTCCTGGGTTGAGGCAGGGATTTATTTGGGTGATATCTTTGATTGGATCAATTACGTAGTTGGGGTAAGGTTGGTCCAGTAAAGGATACCATCTGAAGAAGTCCTCCTTGCCTCTCACATTATTTCGGGAACATCACAGCTATAACATCACTCTTGCACTTAATATACAGATCCATCTTTGATTGCACTGAAATGATATGGACCAGGCAAGGATTTTTGTGGGTGATATCTTATTGGACCGACTGTATGGTTGGGATAGACTTAGGCAAGCTTTTGAATGCAATGCTAGGTGCATCTTTTTTATCGGGTTACATATTAATGAAATTGGGATGAACTGACACAGATGTTTAAATTGTGTACTGTTAGCTAGTTGATGGTCTTGGTCTTTTTTTCAAAAGTGGTCTGGTATCAGGACTACTGATTCAATTTGAAAACTTTCAAACTTGGTTAGTTGAATTTAGGTATTGAGATATATACTTGGGAGCATGCTTGGGTAAGAGGCCTTATTTTCAGTAGGCACGTCTACATATGCATTAATCTGCCATAATTACAGCACATTAAGTTTAGTACCTGTAACAGGTACTAACTTAATACACTGTAATTGGTACTACTGCTGGTGCACATCTTTTAGTTGACCGTAATGCTCAGTAGATTAATTCTTTGAATTAGTGCATTAGCACAGCTCTCACTATGACGTGCTAATGCACAGTAGAATTAGTCTACTATTATGCTTCTAACATCTTGTGTAGATGCGCCCAGCGGAGTGAAAGTTTTCAACATGATTGGAAAAAAAGCTTAATTTAGGGGTCCCTACATTTCAAAACTTTCTTTATCTCTACCCTTTATATTGCTAGTGACACATGCTGGGTTTCACTTGTGTGGTTTTCTTGTTTTGAAGGTTTTGGAGTCAAATGAAGAATCAGGGCATCTTATTCTCACCATTATTGTATCTGGCCATTTCTTCATTTCCCAAGGACGGACAGTTATGGTAACTTCTTTAGTTTTGTGTAATTTAAACATATTTTCGTAAGCTCAAGTTAGCATCATTCCTGATTCTGTTTCCCTTTCTCAGTTGAATGTTGTCTTTTATTGAAGGAGGGTTGTACTGATTTTATCCAGCTTAGCCCATGAAAACTTGCATAGTGGGAGATGTTTTCTGTGCAACTTATCTGACTGATATTTAGAGTGTATTTTCTTTTGCTGCTTGTATTTGCTTCAATTGACAAAATAAATTGTAAGAGAATGACAGAATCTGTGTGGGTGGTGTTACAAATGATGCTATTTTAAAACAATACACCAGATATTTGCAAGTGTTCAATTTCCCTGCCTGGGTAGATCAGGTAAATATGTAATTAAGTGGAAATGAATAGATGCTTAATATTCTGGAATTACACCTAGTTGTCTTTAATCGCGATAAAATTATGCTTATATGATGTGGGCAGGGGGAAATGTTCTTCCCGAACTGGCTAATATGGATCTAAACCAAACTTAAGATCTTACACAGACACAGTCTAGCTATCTTAAAACTGTCTTAGGTCATCGTTTTGTAGCCTGGAATATAAACATGCCCAATTGATGTCACCAAAACCTCTTTAACATCATGCACAAGATACTAGCAAAAGGAGTCCTAGCTAGGACAAACTGATTGTTTTATAACAAACTAACAGATCTGATGAGATAGTGAAAAACATAGAACTCAGTTTGGGGACTACTGTCTTTGGAAGCTACCCTGCTTTGCTATACCAGGTGTGATCTCCCTTAGCCTGGCTTTCATACGTCAGATGTCATTACCAATAGCTACTTCAACCCTCATTTTCAGTTCCTTTTTAAGTATTTTTCTTATAAGAGCCGCTAAAGTCATAAATAGCCTTATTTCTTTGTCTTGGAGCCATAGCAAAGGTACTAACAGTTCAAGAAAAAGCAGCTTCTCCTGTTATTTTCTCATTCTAGAGAAATGACCTAGGACCTTTGGATATTGCAACAAACAGGCTTTGTATAAACACTCCCATCATCAATAAACCACCTAAAATGAAACCCCACAACAACACCCTGTACACATATGGGATCCTTGCATCACCTGTTTGAGTTCACATAGGATGATGTGTGCCAAACTTTGCTTTGACTGTAATCTATATATTTTCTGCTCAGACATCACATGAATTTCCTGCGGGGAGAATGGGGGAAAGAACCCTAAACAATAAACAGGGACCCTCTGGGGCGAGGAGCACACAAAAGAGAAAAGATATAAAAATAACTCAAAGAGATTACTCACCAGCAGCAACAGGACCTGCGACGCAGCTGGAGGGAGAGAGGAAATCCGCGTGGGTCATAAGCCGCGCCTTTATCCAGCTGAGACCGGCTGGTGACGTCACTGGCAATCAGTGGCCGGCGGGGATAAAAGGAACCGCCAGGGAAGACGGTGGGGAGGGTAGAGCAGAGACGGGGAAGTCTCTGACACTGGGCGCTGCCTGGAATACCTGGAGAGCAAGAGAGCCGGCAGGGGCTTTCTACTGCAACGAGGAACAAAGTACAGAAGAGATTGACGAGGCAGAAGAGGCTCCCTGTGTCAGCAGAAGCAGGGTCATTGGAGGGATGGCAGAGCCGGAGGAGGCTCTCCTCGCTAACAGAGGTGGGAGCACTGGAGGAGCGCAGGAGGCAAAGGAAGCTTCCCCTCTGGGTGGAGATGGAACGGGGCAGCAAGGTAAGCTGAGGTACACTCCGGCTGGAGGCTGGGTGCCAGCCCACAATTCAAGGGGTGGCCGGATACGTAGGGAGACATCCCAGGATAGCAGAAGCGGGGCGCTCCCTACAGGGGAGAAGGATGACAGTGGCCCATGTCGTAGAGGGCAGAGGGAGACCCGTAATGACCCGGGGCTCAGGGCTGCGATCTACACTGACCACAACGGGCCAGACCTCAGCAGCATCAGAGGGCATGAAGGGTTGCCCGTCACCCTGACATAGGGGTAGGGGAAAAGGACCGATCAGGTCCTCCCACGCTTGATTTTCATTAGTCTTTCCTTTCTTTACTTTTCCCCCTTTTGGAGGGGCTGGGAGATAGGGCGAGGCGATGTAGCCAGGATGGCACTGTATCACATTTTTCATTGATCCTCCATCTTTTATTAGAGTGTAGAGTGAATTTTGGAGTCCCGGGTAGGGACTGTTCGAGCCGGGAGGGTGCGATTTTCCATAGCCGTACTTTGGTTGAGTTAGTTGCCTCAGAAGGCAGGTCCTACAGCGTGGTAGAGACAGGTGAGCCAAAGGGTCCCAAAGAAGACAAACATCATCGGGGGTATGGCTGTGAAGATCTGATGTCCAGCTGGAGGTTGGCGTGAGGTTGGCATGTAGGGGAGGTGGAACCCCATGGACTACCGCCGGGCGGTGTCCGCGCTGCAGCTGAACCCTGGGTGGCTGGCCCTCCCACTGGTGTAACATTCAAAATTGTGGCAGGAGATATTGGGGGAAGCCACTCGGGATGGACAGCAGCCCACGGGCCTACAGGAGATCATAGGACACACTCTACCAGCCGCATGGACCAAGGACACACGAGACCGGATGTTTGAGGCCTGATGGGTACAATGAACAAAGGGTCACAGTACTGCACCGAGCCTTTCAAGAACTTATTTGGTGGTTGGAGCCGGGGAACATATGGAAAGGAATTCTGTTCTTTGTCCTATTCCCACCTGTAACTCGGATATTCAGGATTAGGTTGGAAAATTTACTTGGACCACCTGTCAGTGCAAGAAACCTCTCAAGTGGCTTGAGACCATATAACCAGGTACGGTTCTTTGAGTAGATGTGATATCTTTTATTACACAAACTGAGTAGCTGGAAAAAAAGTTCTAATAAAAGATATCACATCTGCTCAAAGACCCTTGCCTGCCTATGTCCTTAGATCAACACGGCCATAACCAAAAACCCTTGAGACCCTTTAAGGAATGTTTTGAAGCAGCGGTCAGCAATCTTCTTAGGTTGTGGGCTAGTGTGACCCAATTTGGGTCATAGGCAGGTGGGTGGGCACAAGGCCCCAGCCACTGCCAACACCCTTCCTTGCAGCAGCACACCATCCCCATGGTGAATGCTGCTGAAGCCCCACATCTACAAGCTGAATCCGGCCCATGAACTATAGGTTGCTTACTCCTGTTCTAGAGCATTTCTGTTTGTTCTGTGGTGCATAGTGGTGGAAAACCTGACAGACCAGGTATGTGACACACTGTACAAACAAGCACTCTGTCATCCCCTCTCTGTTGGGAAGTCATCAGATTTAAGAAGTGGTGTTGTTACTGTGGAATAATCCCATTAGTTGTGTAGTCAGCAGTAATTTGGCAGTCTTGTTACTTCACAAATTGAAATCAACTAGAAGTCCTGTTATGGACACTATTAGTGGTTGTCCCTAGTAAGAGACATGATGCAGAAGACAATACTAAATGCCATAACTTCTGTCCCAAAAGAGGCATGACTCCCAGGTTTTTTTGCTGAACCTGATTCTGTGGTGGTCTCAAAGGACTCCTATATCACTTTGCATCAATTCTCTTTTTCCCCCCCAAGATACGACCCAAGATCAAGTGGGTCAATAGTGTAGTCATCCTTTAAAAGCTAATATAGCTTTGGCTAGTGGACCTTTGGCAGCTGTCCATACAAGCTTTCATTAGCTTTCCAAGGCGTAGTGTCTCAGAATTAAGGGGAGATTTTGTACTGAGCTGCATAATCATTGCACCTACTGGCATGGAGATTATCTGTCTGGGCAATACTAAGACTGTCAGATTAAAAAAAAAATCGTATACAAAGCCATAAATCTTGTACCACAAAGTGATTGTTCCTCAAAGAGGAGAGGATTCTTCATTTGAGTAATTCAAAACTGGTTTGGCACCAGTGGAGCATCAGGATCAAAGATCTTCTATTACATGCTGCTCCTGATGCAGGTGGCCTTGTACTTCTGTTGGGAGATCCCTGGGTACGGACATGGGCCTTTGCGTCCCGTTGACATTCACTGGCCTTCTTCTTCTCCAAGTCTGGCTCCAGTCAGCACAATTGGGTTGGTCTTCCTTGCTTTTATCTTGCCTGCTATGATTTTGATGGCTTAATTAACAGGGGGAGGCGTGATGACTCCCTAACCCACCGTTGACTGGCACTTGCCCCAGGGCCAGACAAGGTACGCAACAAACTTCTTTGCAAAGGAAAATAAAATTAAAGAAAAACTTGCTGTCCGTACAGTGATTCCTCTCCTGCTGCAAGGAACTCAGAGGCAGCCTCTCTCTTCTCCCTGCCTTCAGTCGACAAGCGCTTGATTGCTGGAGCCACGAGTAAGCGGGTTTTTTTAGTTCTTTCACTTGCAGTAATTGACGCCGCCCCAGCTTAATTGACTGCCTTGGTGGCCAATTAACGTGGCAATGTCTCTCTCCTTTTTTTTTTTTTTTTTTTAAAAGGTGTGAGCTCCTCTGAGCTCGCCAGACCCAGCGGGTCTCTTGCCCTGTTCCTGGGGACTTCAGTTACAGGCAGCAGTCAGGTATCCACCCTATCTGCCTGCGCTGTCCTCTCCTCCTTTCATTCTATCATCCCATCTCTCGGGGCCAGAAATAGCCCCCGGCCGCTTAATTAGGCCAATCCGTCTCAGCCACCGAGGTGATAAAGTGGTGCTGGGGTAGGTTGGGAGATCCCGTTGCAGTGTGGTCATGCCACTACAGCTGGGCAAATTCCCCTGGCTAGGGGCTCGCTCCTGATTCATAGATTCATAGATTAAGGGTCGGAAGGGACCTAGTAGATCTTCTAGCCCGACCCCCCGCCAGGGCGGGAGAACAACAAAAAACCCCAAAAAGAGAAATGGGACTCAAACGAGTCCAGCCAGGTAGGCATCCAGCCTCTTCTTAAAGACCCCCAGGGTAGGGGCCAGCACCACTTC